AAGAATTCCCAGAGTCAGTGGTTGATTTAATTGGTGGTTGGGGGGATGACTGAGGTCATGAGGAGGAGGTTATGACGGCATCCTGTCTGCCTCTAAGAGAGGCTTGAAGATAAAGGCCTAGCCAGCCAATGGTCCCTGCTCCAGCAATAATTCAGTAATGCCTTTGTGGAAGAGAATGTGTTGTTACAATTAATAAGAAAATGTATGTAAAGTGTGAAAATTTCGTATGGGGATCTATGAGCTCTATGAAAGTATGCTGGGTATGGAATCAAGGAGACTTGAATTCAAATCCTGTCTCTGACACTTATTAGCTGTGTGATCCTCAGTAAGTCACTTAACTTCTCTCAGCCTCAGGAGTCTTATCTGTAAGAATGGAATAATAATAATAATAATAATAATAATAATAATAATAATATTAATATAATAATAATAATAATACCTAGTGCGGTTGTTGTGACGATTAAATAAGAAACCATATGCAAAGCACTTTGAAAACCTTTAAGTACTCAGTAAATGCTAGTTATTGTTGTCATTGTTGTTACATGAGAGGTAGCATAGCTCAGTGGGTAGAGGGCCACCTTTGGACTTAGTATGAGCTGAATTCAAGTCCTGATTCTTATAAATTACTGGCTATGGGACCATGGGCAAGTCTCTCATCTTTATGGTGAATCCAGATAACTTCCTAAGACTGTTAGTTACCAACAAGCTTTTTTTAAAAAATATTTTATTTTTCCCAATTACATGTTAAAATATTTTTTTAACATTTTTTAAGTTTTGAGTTCCAAACTGTCTCTCCTTCCAACAAATTGCTGATCTGCACTGATGGAGAGAATTTCAACACCAGAAGTTCACTATACCAACGCAGACATGGATCTAGACCAAAAATAAAAGTGCTATATAAAGGGCAATTATTATTATTTTTATTATTATCCTAACCATTCTGGCCCTATGGTTCTGGGATGTGGGAAGAACATGCTGTTGCTTTCACAGTACCCTAACCAAAACCCTGGTGTTGAAATTTTACTAAAGGTCTCTAGAAATAAAAATTCATAATAATGCCAAAATCTCACTTAGTGAAGAACTAACCATTGTGATTTGTGCTAGGTGGTGTAGTGGATAGAGTGCCATGCCTGAAGTTAGAAAGACTCATCATACTAAATTCATCCTGGGCAATCAAATTATTCACCTCAATATCCTCATCTGTAAAATGAACTAGAGAAGGAAACAGCAAACCACTCTAGCATCTTTGCCAAGAAAACCTCAAATGGGGTCATAAAGAGTCAGACATGACTGAACAACAACAAAAAAATGCTGTTATTTGTTCAGGCTGTTTACACAATGCCTCTTGCATGTAAGCCTGGTATCTTGATGGCTGGGTTTTAAGATTCTCATTTTTCTTCAGAAGCATTTTCCCAAAGTTAGGCTGGCTCTGCCCAGTGGAAAGAGTATTGGTTCTGGAACTGGAATCAGAGGACTCCTACTGCTAAGCTTTATTACCTTTGTGACCTCGAGGAAGTCATTTACTCTCCCAGGGCCTCAGTTTCCTGATCTGTAAAGTGAGAGAGTTGGGCTAGATTTGAGGTCTTTCACCTTTAAATTTATAATCCTCTAATTTAACAATAAACCTTAGTAGTAAATTCACAGAACAGCCCTTTGAAGATAGTTAGTTATATGTTCCATAAATAGAAGGAAAAATTAAGTTCAAATATATTAAATTAGTCAAAAATTGTAGAGCAACTACTGCCTGCAGAATTCATGGTACTCTGTGACATGTGACATGGTTAAAACCAGGACAGACCATTAATGACCATTAATGGACTTCCTGGCATCTAAACATATATAACCCACTTTGCCCACAGGCTTTGTTTTCTCCCTGGGAGTGGTATTGAGTTACAGTGAAATGACTGACCCCTACATGTCTTTGTTTTGGGCCATTTCACAACTGTTCCCAAATTAATTAAGACTTTTCCTGCTGAGGCAGGACAACCTGAGCTAAACTCCGAAAAACTTGCTTCTATGACTAGCAGTACCCTTTTTGTTCCTAAACTAGTTACCAGAAAGATTATCCTTTGATAAAAGCAGTAATTAACAATTTACCAATTGCCAACTAAATAGATTGTCTTTCAACCTCATCTTCATTACCAAGCAAGCAGTGATGTTCACAAGGACAAGAATTAGGCTTATTTGAATTTCTTTCTTCCTTATGTCAGTCAATCTGATTGTCTGTCCTTTCTGTTTTTCTTCCATGACCTCTCATAGCATCTCTCTCTTTCTGTCATTTAACCAGGTCTCCAATTCTAGTTACAGCATAAGCAACTTACCTCAACTTTTGCTTTGGTTTCCCTTCCCCTCCCTCTCTTCCTCCACTAATCCACCAAAGACTTTTTCCCTTTCATTCTCTGCCTTGAGATTTCATACCAAGCCTTCTTCCCTTTTTGAAGTTCAAGTCTTTAACTTTCAACCTCAAAAACTCCATTACAGAGAACATTTAAATATTGGGATCTCCTCTCTCCCCCACACACGTTTCCTATACTGGTCTGTACACAACTGGTGTTTAATAAGCATTGGTTGAATGGAATTTTTTGAGTATATGGGCTTTGTTATGTTTTCAGTATTTTTCCTCTCAAAGATGCAAGAGACCAGAGGGCATGCATGCAGAACATACAGCTAGATTCCAATCAGTGTAAATAATGAGTCCCCTGAAGTAGTCACATGTATTTGCATTCTCACATTATTTGAAGTTATAATTATGCAAAATACAGTCAATGGTTTCAACCCAATGGAAATATGCAGAGCAAATTCAAATAATGTAACCATTTCATGGTATTCGTTATTTGCACTAATCAGGACCTAACTGCATGTATGTCCATTTTAACTGTTAACTAAATTAACTTCTGCTCTTATGAATCAGTACACTTTTATGTAGCTAGTTTAGAAGCGAAAAATAATTATTCTAGAGATAATTCTGGGCTTTACCAGATAAGCCTGGCCTAAGGTGGAGATAGCTTTTCTCAGTGTAGAAAGATCTAAATTTGAGACAGTCTGTAACTTAGACAGTTACTATTCTTTTATTCTGTCAGTAACCAGAGAAGTGAATTTAGATTTTATAAAATTGGTTTTGTAGCCAACTTCCCAACATTCCATCTTCATAGACAGCATATAGAACTTAAGTGTTCTTCTATCTTATAAGTGAAAGAACCGGTATTTTTAAGTCACTTACATGAAAGACTAATGTAATAAAGAAAAGTTAATGTTTCATAAGACCTCCTTTGTGTTCAGACAATCTTAGGTTTCTCCCTACTTGGAACCACTTCATGAAAGTAGTTGAATGCTCACCACCTATCTCTCCCTGTATCTCCAACTTTTTTTCACCTTTTTCATTCCCAGGGCCTGTTTTCTACCCCCTGATTTTTTTCTCATCTCAGTACCTCCTAAATATTCTCCATTCTCCCCATCATTCCACCAAGCTCAACCATACCTCAGTCCTTTCAAAGTCAATCCATAATCTTGGACTCCAATCATTTCTTTTGCTAACCCTCTCTCAATCTTCTGAGTATCTCCCAAGTGGGGGCCTTTGTTGATTCTATTCTATTTCTCTTTCTACCTCTTAGATTTTCATTATCCTTCTAGAGACATTGCCTGGGATTGTCTTCTCTCTAAATTCTTTCAAGGAAGATTAGTTCTGCTGCTTTCACCAAAGATCTGCATTGCTGCACCCCTATGTCCTACACCTCCAAAAAGGGTAAAACAAAATTGGAGGCTCCACAAGTCATGAGGACAACACTCAAATACCCTCTGGGAAAAGCCCACCCTGAACATCACCCTACAATGTATTATAAATGAATATTTATCAGGTTATTGCTACAGTGCACTAAAAAATTGTACTGTGGCGGCCTAGAAGAATTAGTATAGTCCCCAAAGGTATTGTAGGCAGTTGCTGAGGCAAAAAGAGAATATAGCTTGATGTATATGACAGTGTCTTGAGAGTTTCAAAAGAAAAGTACTATTTAAATCTCAAAGGATTATTTTATTATATCTCCTTCTGTCTAAGGAAGGAGAAGATCAGTGCTGGTAACAAGTAAATTAATCTTTCATTGTCCTATCTCATGTTCCAGGAATTTTCTGATTCCAGTGGAGTTGTATATGAATTCAGGTTATCTCCAGTAGATCATGCTTTTCACTTCTGTCACTCAACCTGATGTTCTGTCCCTTTTTCTTCTAGGACTTCTCAGATCAGTTCCCTTCCTCTCGCTGCATTAACCAAGTCCCCTACCTTGGTTATACTATGACCATTTTGTTCCAACATTCCCTCGACTCTTCCTTCCTCTTCCTCTTCCTCACCAGTCCACCACAAAGCTTCTTCTTTTCAAATAAACCTTGACATTTCACATCAATCCTGCCCCTCTTTCCCAAGTCCAACAAGTTTTTCATCTTCAAACTCAGATTCCATTGCAGACATTGCATTCTTTCAGTACCCAATAGCCAGTTGGGGGACTACAATAAGTATTTTCCATACACACTGTATACAAAATTCACCCCAATCTTTAGCTTTTCAGAAAATACCCTCTCCCTAATTTCCAGTCCCAATGCTTTCCATTTAGACCTCTCCTCAAGAGCTACCTTTCTAGTGAAACTGTAGTAAGCCAAGTATTCCCACCAGCTTCTTGAAAGGGAAAAAGTTATGGGGGGGATGAAATCAAAGTCAACTGTTGTATCCCTTCCCTATCCCCTGAAAAGGAAAAGCTGGAGGACAGACCTTGCTACTTTATCCCATGTGCAGAAATCAAAATCTTGTAGAAGAGTTACCCAATATCCACTCACCCAGAGAGATAAATGGGAGACAACCCTGGTCTTTATCTCATCCTGAGCCTCTCCAGCTGTATCCCCAGACAGAGTTCTTCACCCACTCTCCCTCCCCTTATTGAACTTCACAGGTGTGGGCAACCATCCCACCCCACGGAGTCTTCTTTATCATCCCTAGCCCACTCACCCCCTATTACCTTATCAGCCATGATCATGGAGGCACCACCATGGATCCCCAGGATGGGGATGAAGGTCTGGGAGGAGATAAAATCCAAGATCTGTGCGATGGCTTCCTGGTCCGTATCATCCCCAAACACTAGCCCATGGATGCGGGCGCCAGACATGAGGTCGCAGACATGGGTGATGAGACTCTTGGGGTCTGTAAGGTTGACCAGCATGGCCACCACATTCACGTCGAGAGCAAGCTCACCTGCCAGTTCCCGGCCCCACAGGCTACGGATGTCCCGCTCTGTCACATCGTGGCTCCGGCCCAGAAGCACTGCGATGTTCAACGCCGGGGGCCCCTTCTCCGCGCGAGCTCGTGCCGGGCTTCGCCACACCAGCAGAGCCGGCAGCACCAGCAACGCCCAGTAGCCCAGTCTGCCCATGGTCGCCAGCTGCGATCCCTACAGGAAAGGGCGCACGCAGAGTGAGGACTCTCAACTCAAGGAAAGCTACATTCCCAGACAGTCAAAAACTTCACTCTCCACAAACCAGGGCAGAACACGATCCCGTAGTTCTCCTACCCAGAAGGAAGATCCTCTGGGAATAAAACTCAGCTTCAAAGCTCAACCTGGTCCTACTTGTAGAGTGAAAGATCCCTTCCCCGACACACACACACACACACACACACACACACACACACACACACACTGTGCACTTCTCGTCTGGGATGAGGGCACGCCTTGCGTTGCTGCGGGGGAGAATGAGCTATACACTCTTCTCCCACCACCACTACCCCTTCAATGCAGCGCATACGAGACCCGCGTGAGAAGCAGCTACTGGAGCAAAGGTCCCCCCTCCCTTCTCAAGAGAGGAGACGGGTCCCCAGTGAACCAGGAGTGAAAGAGAGCAAGGAGCTGTCCAGAATTAGAAGAATGCAGTGATAAGAGACCCTGCTGGGCCAATATCCCTCAGTGGCCCTAGGATAGAGCAGAGCTCATTCCTCTCTAATAGCCTTCTCTGGTTCCTCTCTGTTCTGGAAGCGTTGATGGGCAAAGAACAATTGCAGGGCAGCATAGCAAGGGGTGGAGGGGGGGAAAGGAGGGAGAGAGCTTACACCAGGTTTGACCCTACTGCAAAGTCTTACTGGGTGAGGGTCGGTACATGGAGCAGATACTAAGATATGTGGGGAAGCGATCGATCCCAGCCATATTCCCTCAGATTCACATACACTCAGAGCCATGCAAATTGGCGCACAGCCGCATTCACCTGTATGCATCCGCATACACTTCCCATGCTGACAGGTGATCGGGCAACACAAACATAGCTCCACCCAAGCACACAGCTCACTATTCAGGTGCACACACAAGTTCTACACACAAATGTAGTGCACACTGGCGCTCGCGCGTGCATGCACACGGGCAAACACGTGTACACACACGTGTGTGCACACGTCCATGAACACGCACACACCCATGCGTACACAGCCGCGCGTCCCCTCACCAGGGCTGCGGAGCCCTGCGAAGTTCATATTTAACTCTATAGAGTCTCTGCCTTCTGGAGAGTCCCTGAGTCCCCACGCGGAAGGTAGGCACAGAGAGCAGGGCAGCAGCGCCCCCTGGCGGCCACCTATCCTTCTTCCCGCGGTTCTCTTCTCACTCTCCCCACCTTTTTTTCCTCTCTCCCCCAACCATGTGGTCCCCAGCTCCCCCGCCGGGACGTACCAGGATCGCCGGAGAAGGTCGAGGCTGCGGTGGGGCGCGCTGCGCAGTCGAGCATTTCGGCTGCCTCAGCAGCAGCCGAGGTTAGGGGGCTCTCCCATCCTGCCACCCCAGCGCGCTCCCCTTGCCGTCCGGCGCTGCCCGCATAGCCCCCACTGGAGGCGGCTATCCCAGCCGGAGGTTTTGCAGCACAGCTCTGCCGAGGTGGGAGAGAGAAAAGGAAAAGATAAATCCAACCTGGGGGCTGTGCGTAAAATGTACAAACATATGCATACGAAAAGCTTGACCTTAAAGAGGAGACACGCTTGGCTCCCATTGATATACCCAAATGTGGCTCAGACGCTACCATCCGGCAGTGCTGACAAGAACACTGGGGAAGTCCTACTCTGCTGAGCCCGGGGGCTAAGGGACATAGAGTTATCCAGTTCCCACCCCCTGTCCATTCCGAAAATGCAAATTCGGCTTTCAATGCAACCCTCCCCTCACCAGTCTCTAGTGGCTAGGAGTTGTGCGTCCGGTAGCCACCAAGCTTAAGCACAAGGGGAAGGAGAATAAGGGTTGAGGAGGGGGAAGATCTTTCTAATGAAAGGAGGAGTAAGAATTGGGAAAGAAGAGAACGGAAAAGCACTCCGGCAGTCCCGCTGTCCAAGAAAACAGCCGCTCTCCTTTCCTGTGTGCTTAATATCCCACACAGTGAACCCCTCTCTGTCAGTCCAGCTATCCTTCTCTTCCTATCCCCCCACCTCCCTCTACCCTATGGGGGGAAAATTGGCTCTGGATCTAAGTGCAAGCAGAGCTCCCTAGGTCCGTGCGCCCCTGCTCCGCTTCTAGCAATACTCACCGCAGCCACCCTCCACATAGTTCCCAAAGGCAGCTCTTCCAAGTCATCTCCGGGGCTGAAAAACGCGGCCCCGCGGCTCCAGTTTTCAGTGCTCCCCGGCCCCCATAAGTCAGCCGAGACCCCCCACCCCAGTCCCTCTCTTCTTTCCTTTCTCTTCCCAGTGGCTACACGTCCCTTTTAGAGTCTGTGCCCGGGGATTCCACGCTCTGCTTCTCTCTGGACAAGAGCAAGGATGAGTCCTCGGCTATTCCAACATCACAGAGCTCCCTCTCCGCAGCCTAGCCTTTCGGGGCGCGCGCACCCGTGTGTGCGTGCGTGTGGGGGAGGGGGGAGGAGATGGCAGGGGATCCCCGCGTTCTCTGTCAGAAGATAGAGCCAAATGAGGAGGAGAATCAGGAAAGGTTGCTCTCAGCTTCCCTGCAGTCCAGCTCCACGCTCAGGTCCCAGCTCCCGAATCTCTGCTCCTAGACTGGAATTAGAAGGGCAAGCCCGACTCGCTGCAATGCTTTCCAGCAATGGCAAAAAAAAAAAAAGGGGGGGTCCCTGGACGTGCTCCGCACAGCCTGGGGAGGGGGCGGGCTCCCGCTCCCGCTCCTGCTGCTGCTTCTTCTCCCGCCACTGCCGCCGCCCAGAAGGAAGAAGGGGGCAGGTGCGCCCCCTCGCCAACTTGGGGACTTATTCAGAGCTGGTTTCTTGGAGGGATGCGGAAGCCCAGCTCAAGCCCGAGACTTTGGAGGGGGGAAGGAATACTTCTTCTCCTCCCACCCCCCTCTTTCCCCTCCGACACACACACACACACACAGTATGCCACTTTTTCGTACTGAGAATATATCTGCCCTGGCCCCCACCCCAAAAGGAGGGAAGCTTCAGATTCTGGTGACTGGGAGTCTGTGAGCCCCAGGACCACCAATAAGGGAGAGCTCTGGGAAATCTAGTGTCAACCTGATCTAGTGCTGTCCGTGGTGCTGAAAGCAATATTTCCTCTAGGTTCTCCACAAGGGTTCCTCCTGTTTTATGATGCGGCTGAAGAAGAATCAATTATTTAGAGCTCTAGGCTGCCAGTTCCTCTCCAGTGTCTGGGGCTCGTGGGAGCATTCGTCCCTTTCTACGTACTCTCTCACACAGACAAATATATATATATATATATATATATACACACACACACATACACGATCCTCTACACCGTTTTACAAAACCAGCTCTGTACCCCCTCACCCCACCTCCGCTTCCCTGTCATCACCACCACCACCATCTCCTCCAGTACCTGAGCTCACCCCCCCTGCAGGGGGCTGGATCTGGAGGGAGGGAGTGAGGCGGGCTAAAGAGGATGGTACCACCCACTTTCAGACTGGATTAGGAGGACGGGAGAAAGGGTGAGAAGATCAGCGGGGGTGTTTTGTAAGCCACACCAACTCTTCGCTGCCCCTAAGTTTTCTCTTTTTTGAGCTTCTAGAACATCTTCTGGGAGCAAAAGAAGATGAAGAGCCCGGAGTTTGCAGATGTGGTTGACAGATAACATTGAACAGACAAAATGCAGAGACTGGAAACATGGCTATTAAACTTGCTGTGAAAATTTCCGACTTTGAGACTTAGAGCCCTCATTCGAACTTACTCATCTCTGCCTGACCCACCCAATGCCCAACCCTCTCTTTGTCTGGACAAACAAATGCACATATAGGTAAAATAAATAGTTTATTTTATTTTATCTTAAACTTCAAGCCAGGCAATTTCTGAGGCAACTACCAAAGGATTTGGAGGGAAGTAATGGCCCTCCATTTCTGCATTTCAATTCGACAAATGTTAGTTGCCCACTAGCTATTGCTTAGGTTCCAAACCTTTCAGAGATCAAAGGGAGAAATACTGGGTTAAAAAAAAAAAAGGAAGAAACAGATTCAATCATTTCCCACAGGCAGCTTACAGTCCAGTATGGGAGATGAGACACCTATACATGAAACTATTACAAATTAGAATGTGAAAAGTGGGCACTTTGGAAATTAACAAGAGACCCCAAATGAGAATTCATTTCTTTACTTGTGATTGTTAAAACAATGAGATGTCTGTTGTAGACTTATCTTGGCTTGTAGGTCCTAGATCTTCAAAGGCAATGCCAGCGGAATACAAGTTTTGACATATACCAGAGCAAGCTGGAAAGCCTTCCAGTAGAGTCTAGATGATGGACTGTGTGTCTGTCTTCCCAGGACCAGCTGAGCTAAAATTGAAGAGGCTCAGGAACAGAAGCTGGTCCTCAGGTGATGAGGAAACTGAGCTTCTCTTCTTCTAAATAATTATGGTGATAGTGTTTATATGAATAAGAATTGTCCAAATGATGATATGTTTCTGGATCATTAGGCTCATGACTGAGTATGGAGATTACACTGTATTTACTTGGAAGGTTATGCAATCCTATCAATTATATCAAACTGATCATTGTCACAAAATAGTCTCTCTAACACCAATATTTCCTCAATGGTCCTCTATAACTACAACTACAGGGTACTATAGTTTTTGGAAATTTTAAAATTACAAATGACACATAGACCATGAAAATATCTTCAATGGGTAGAATCAGGTTTTAAAGTGTTATGAATGATTATGTGTGCATGAATGATGGTATCAAATTGTCAAGGCCATATCTGACCAGAAAAGGAGAAGGGAACAATCTAAGAGTCAATAAAAGGATAGCCTGAGGGGTGTCCTGATTCTCCCAAGACATTAAAAGGAAAAGAGAAAAACCTCCAGCATGTTTCAGAGATTTATAGAAAAATTGTGGGAAAATATGGACAATTTCCCAGAATCAAAAGAAGTGCAAAGACCAGTAGGGGGAGTGCCCACATGGATGAAATCATCCAACCACTAAAGTAACATTACGATTATACATTGAGCTCCAGTCACTAAAGAGCTACTGTAATGCCTTATCATGGTATGTAAGGGACTCCATTTGCAAAGGCTACAAGAGGTGAGTACAAGTTATGGTGGGTCCCAGCAAGAGACAAAGGCTTCAAATACAGTTTGAATTATGGACTATATGTCCATTAAAAGGCCAACCATACCTAAATGTTAAGAGGTTCATGACTAAGTTGACCACCAGATGACCAATAATTTTGGTGACCATGTCTCATGATGATTGTCTATTAAGGGATAGAGAGGGTTTGATCTTCATCACTGTAGAGAGTAGCCCAACAGAGAATCAGTGAATCATAGAATTTGGATTTGGAAGGAAATTTAAATCAGCAATCTTTTGAAGTATATTGAACGAATTAGTGAATGAATTCCTTAAGCCTTTTATACAAAAGAAAGAAAAGAGCAAGTAGGGAAATAAGGAGGGTTTTAGTAACCTCAAGGACTGGAATGAGCTTCTTAAAAGAGGGGGCACTTGTGAGAATCTTTGAAGGAAGCTAGTATTTTTATGAGGAAAACATAAAAAAGAAGTTCATTTTGGGAATGGGGCACAGCTTGTGCAAAGACATGCATACAGGAAACAGGATAGTGTGTACCGGAACCAACAAGAAGACCAGGTTGTTGAGTGTGTTAAGGAGGGTAACATACTATAAGCCTAGAAAGGTAGGCTGGAGTCAGATTCTGAAGGGCTTTAAAAGTCAAATGTAAAAAGTCACTTTAAAAGTCACTCTAGGGGCAGCTAGGTGGCATAGTGGATAAAGCACCATCCCTGGATTCAGGAGGACCTGAGTTCAAATTCAGCCTCAGACACATAACACTCACTAGCTGTGTGACCCTGGGCAAGTCACTTAACTCCCATTGCCCAACCAAAAAACAAAACAAAAAAAAAGTCACTCTCCTCTGTGTATTTTATTCTAGAGGTAAGAAGGGTGTTTTCAAAGCTTCCTGAACTATGACTTGGTCAGACCTGTTCTTTAGGAATACCACTTTGGCAACTATGGAGGATGAGTTGAAGGTGAGAAGGTCTGGAAGCAGGAAGATCAAGGGTCATAAGATCATGGAAGGGACCTCAGAAACCATCTTGACCCACCCACTGATCTTAAATATGAAGAAACTGAAGTCTAAGGAAGTAAAATGACTTGACCAAAGTCACATAGGCAGTAAGTAGATCTTCTGCCTCTAAAGGCATCACTCTTTTCATAGTAATATAGCAAAGGTGAGGCACAGTTTCTAATATTTATGTTGTGCTTTAAGATTTTTAAAGAGATTCAGTACATATATTGTCTCATCTCATGTTATCTTCACAACAATCCTGTGAGGTAGATGTTATTATTATTATCTCCATTTTACAGAAAACTGAGGCTGAGAGAGGTTAATTGATTTGCCTAAGATCACATAGATAGGACATACCTAAGCAGAATTCACTGGCATCCTATCCACTATATCATCTAGAGTGGTGACCATGTAAAAGGAAATGAGACAGACTTGTGCAAAATAGATTATGGAGTCAGAATCCATAAGACTTGGTGACTGATTAGATACGAAAGGTTAGTGAGCACAAGATAAGAATTAAATCAAGGGTTGCAAAATTATGGGTAACCAAAAGGATAATCCCTTCAATAGCAATAGGGAAATTCAGAAGAAGGAAAGGTTTGGAAGAAAAAAAATAGTAAGTTTTTGTTTTGGATATATCAAGTCTATGATATGGCAGTCCATTTGAGGATGCCCAGTATTCAGTTGTTGATGTGGCATGGTGAAATCCTCCCTAACACTTTGTTAGTATCTCTCATTTGTATTTTGTATTATAATTTTTATGTACATACATCTCACATCCCCTAACAGATTGCAAACCACTTGAGGGAAGATATTATCTTATTTGTCTTCATACTTCCTTTAGTGATAGGTAGTGTAGTGGATAGAGAGCTGGCAATGAAGTCAGAAAGACCTGGCTTATGGTCCTTCCTCTTATCCTTACTTGGCTATGTGACCCTGGGCAAGAAACTTAATCTCTCAGTGTTATAGACAACTCTCCAAATCTAAAACTGTAAGTTGCAGAAAAGATGCCTACCTTCATTGGTACAGGGAGTTTCTTCATCTGGGAATTCCCCATGTCAGTGAAATCAGACACAGTCCCCTTCCCTATCTGATATCTAATACATGCCTTTCACATAGTAGGCACTCAATAAATGTGTTTGGATGAATATATGAATGAATTAAAATTTACAATTGGAAAAAAGAAAACATTTCATAGTGACTGTGCTGACAAAGATATGGCTCTGGAGTTACTGAATCAACTGTTATTCAGCCAATTTGGACCATTTGCCTACCAATCAATCACTTTGCCAAGTAGGTCAATTAAAGTAACTGGAATAATTTGCTGATTGGTCTGAATGAACAAACTGAATCAACCATACTCATTCTAACTGATGGCTCTGATTGGTTGTTAAAATTACCAAAGAAATAGCAAAAAGCTAGAAACAAAGAAGGTCCCCATTGACTGGGAAATGATTAAACAAATTGTGATTAAATAAAATGTGGCTGTAATGGAATTCTATTTTATACTGTAAGAAGTGATGACTAAAAGGAATCAGAAAAGCATAGGAAGACATGGGAACTTAGAAGGAAACATAGACATAGGAACA